CTTTTTTAATGGCACAATAGTATTTCATGGTATACATATACTACAGCTTGTTAATCCATTCCTGGGTTGGTGGGCATTTAGGTTGTTTCCATGGTTTGGCATTTGTAAATTGATCTGCAAATGTCTAGTGCAAATGCCCTTACAATAAAATGATTTTTTTTTTCCGTCCGGGTAGATGCCTCTTAGTGGGAATGCAGGATCAAATGGGAGGGCTAGTTTCAGTTCTTTGAGGATTCTCCATACTTCCTTCCAAAAAGGTTGTATTGGTTTTCAGTCTCACCAGCAGTGTGAAAATGTTCCCTTCTCTCCATATCCATGCCAGCATCTGCAGCTTTGAGACTTTGTGATGTGGGGTATTTGCATTGGGTTTAGGTGGTATCTCAGGGTAGTTATGATTTACATTTCTCTGATGATCAGGGAAGATGAGCAGTTTTCAAATGTTTCTTAGCCATTTGTCTGTCTTTGTCAGAGAAGGTTCTATTCATACCTCTTGCCCAGAGGTAGATGGGATTATTTACTCTTTCACTGTTGATTAATTTGAGTTCTTTATAGATTCTAGTTATCAACACTTTGTCAGGTTCATAGCCTGGAAAATATCTTTTACCATCCTGAAAATTATCTTTTTGCTTTCCTTGTTGTGTCCTTAGAGATGCAGAAGCTTTTCAGCTTAATTAAGTCCATTTGTTAATTTTTGTTGTTGCTATGATGGGCTCTGAAGTCTTTGTCCTAAAATCTTTCCCCAGTCCAACATCATCAAGTTTCTCCACACACTTTCTTCTAAGATTTTTATCATTTCATGTCTTAGATTGAAGTCTCTTATCCATCTTGAGCCAATTTTTATAAGGGGTGAAATGGGTCGATCAAGTTTCAGTCTTTTCATGTGGTTATCCAGTTCTCCCAGCACCATTTGTTGAATATTGATTCTTTTCCCCACTGTATATTTTTGTTCGGTTTATCAAAGATCAGATGGCAAGAGGAGATTGGTTTGATCTCTTGGTTTTCAATTCTGTTCCATATGTCTATGTCTCTATTTGTGTGCCAATATCATGCTGTTTTGATTACAGTGGACTTGTAATATAGCCCAAAGTCTGGTAGGGTGATGCCTGCTTTGCTTTTATTACTAAGAATAGCCTTAGCTATACTTTTTTTTCTTGTTCCATAAAAAAATGAAGTACTCTTTTCTCCAATTCTTCAAAATATGATGTTGGTATTTAAATTTCCATTGCATCAAATTTGTAGATTGCTTTTGGTAGAATAGACATTTTGACAATGTTGATTCTTCCCAGCCAAGAGCATGGTATTTTCTGCAATTTGTTAGTGTTTTCTACAATTTCTTTTCCTAGGGTTTCATAATTCTTTGTAAAAAGATCTTTCACCTCTTTTTTTAGGTATGTTCTTAAGTATTTCATTTTCTTTGAAGATACTCTGAAGGGAATTATTTCCTTGATTTGCTTCTCAAATCAAGAGAAGCTAAACAGCTTAGTTGTTATTGGCATATACAAGTCTACTGATCTTTGGAAATTGATTTTATACCCTGAGACATTACTGTATTTCTTGATAACTTCCAGGAGTTTGTGGTTGAGTCTTTGGGGTTTTATAAGTATAAGACTATATCATCAGCAAAGAGGGAGAGTTTGACTTCCTCTGCACCCATTTTGATGCTCTGTGCATCATTCTCTTGCCTGATTGTATTGGCTAGAACTTTTAGAACTATGTTGAATAATAGTGGTGATAGTATACATCCATGTCTGGTTCCAGTTCTCATTGGAAAAGCTTTTAGTTTTACACCATTCAGCATGATGTTAACTGTGGGTTTGTCATAGATGTCTTCAATCATCTTAAAAAATATACCAACTAAACCTATTCTCTTAAGTGTTATTGTTAGTAAAATATGCTGAATTTTATAAAACACTTTTTCTGCCTCTATTGAGAGGATCATATAGACTTTGTTTTTATGGATAGGATGTATTACATTTATGGATTTACATATGTTAAAAGAACCTTACATCCCTTGGATGAGGTCTACTTCATTGTGATGTATTATTATTATTATTATTTTTTGAGAGTCTCACCTTCTCGCCCTTGGTAGAGTGCCGTGACAGCTTTACACTGCTCATAGCAACTTCCATCTCTTGGGCTTAGGTGATTCTCTTGCTTCAGCCTCCCAAGTAGCTGGGACTACAGGCACTCACCACAACGCTCGACAATTTTTTTGTTGCAGTTTGGCTGGAGCCAGGTTTGAACCTGCCACTGTTGGTATATGGGGCCAGTGCCCTACTTCTGAGCTGCAGGTGCTGCCGAAAGAGATTTCTTGTTCTTTTTCTTTCTTTCTTTTTTTTTTTTTTTTTTTTGCACTTTTTGGCCAGGGATGGGTTTGAACCCACCACCTCTGGCATATGGAACCTGTAATCTATTATCTAAGATTTTGTTGAGTATTTATGCATCTATATTCACTAGTTAAATTGGTCTGAAGTTTTCCTTTGTTAAGTCCTTTCCTGGTTTTGGAATCAAAACCAAAGTGATATTTGCTTTATAGAATGTGTTTGGGAAGGCTCCTGCCTTGTCAATGTTTTGAAATAGTATCTGCAGTATAGGTACAAGCTCATCTTTGAAGGTGTGATAGAATTTTGATGTGAAGCCATCTGGTCCTGGGCTTTTGTTGTTGTTGTTAAAAGCTTTTTTATTGTTTATGCAATCTCAGAGCTTGATATTGGTCTTTTCAGGAGATCTATTTCTTCCTGGTTAAGTCTAGGAAGGTGGTGTGATTGCAGCTGTTGGTCCATTTCCTCTACATTGTCAAATTTCTAGACATAGTTTCTTGTAGTAGACTGAAACCCAACCAACACTTTTCACCCCTTAAAAAATTGACTTAAGATGGATAAAAGATTTAAATTTAAGACCTGAAATGATAAAAATCTTGAAAGAAAGTGTGGGAAAAGTTATTGATGATGTTGGACTTGGGAAAGATTTTATGACAAAGACTTCAGTAGCAATCACAAGTAAAATAAACAAATGGGACTTAATTAAGCTGAAAATCTTCTGTACAGTTAAGGACACAACAAGTAAAGAAAATACACAACCTTCAGAGTGGGAAAAGATATTTACATGTTACAAATCTGACAAAAGATTGATAATTAGAATCTACAGAGAACTCAAATTAAATCAACATCAATAGAGCAAACAATCATATCTATCACTGGGCAAGTGATATGAACAGAACTTTCTCTGAGGAAGAAGATGAGTGGCTATCAAACATATGAAAAATACTCATCTTCCCTGATCATCAGAGAAATGAAAATCAAAACCACCCTGAGATATCATCCAACCCCAGTGAGAATAGCCCACATCGCAAAGTCCCAAAGTTGCTGATGCTGGTGCAAATGTGGAGAATGGGGAACACTTTTACACCCTTGCAGGGACTGAAAACTAACATAGCCTCTTTGGAAAGAAGTATGGAAAATCCTCAAAGAACTCAAATTGGAACTTTTATTTGATCCTCCAATCCCATTACTAGGGATCTAACTACCCAAAAGAAAAAAAATAATTTTGTAATAAAGACATTTACTCTAGATTGTTTATTGCAGCTCAATTTACATTTGCCAAGATGTGGAAACAACCTGAATGCCCATCAACCCAGGAATGAATCAAGAAACTGTAGTATGTGTACACCATGGAATGCTCCTCTGTCATTTTAAAAAAGGAGAGTTTACATCTTTTGTATTAACCTGGATGGAGGTGAAACGCCTTCCTTAGAAAAGCATCAGAAATATTGAAATACAAATATCCAACATACTCAATAGTAATATAAAGCCAGTAGGTAATCTAATACATGTCCACATAAGAGAAAATCGCATTTCAATTCAAGTTGGGAGAAAGGGGAATAAGGGAAGGGAAAGGAGAAGGTGGGAGGGAGATTGGTGTGCTCCCACTTAATAGGCACAACTTAAGGGTACATGGCACACACATGGCACACCTCTTGGGTCCGAACACAACAACAAGAGGTACTCTACCTAACTAATGCAAACATTGTAACCTAGTTATTTATACCTTCACATTTACCTGAATTTAAAAAAAAAGAAACTGGAAAAGAAAACAGCTGATTATCATTTTGCTCATGTATATAAATAAAGACCAAAGGATGACTAAAATTTCAAGGGAAGTATGTACTGCTTGATAAAAATCGTCCCAATTTAGGACATTTTATACTCATTCATTATACAATTATTTATGTTAAAATATTGAATTCCATAATGGAAATAAAGGAGGGAAAAATAAAAAAATTGCAAAAAATCTTATTTTGTAAAGAATATAACATGAGATCTGTTGAATAATGTGATGTGGTTCATACTGAAATACTTAATCTTTTAAAAGAAGACTTGCTGCATTAGCAGTACTGGGTTTTACCACAAGAGTCACTAAATTAGCACATGTGAGCCAGGCTCAGCCCACTGCCTGTTTTTGGAAGCAAAGTTTTATTGGATCACAGACATGCCAGTTCCCTCATTTTCTATGACAGATTTTTGAGTATAACAAAAACCATGTGGTCCACAAAGTCCAAAACATATTTACTATCTGGATTTTTAAAAAAAAATTTTTTTTATTGATTATTCCTCATTTAAACCATGACTTAATCCCTATCTCAGGATTAAACTATCTCTATTTTCTATTAAAATTTTACAAAAGGAAAGGGGTAAGAAGCAAGAGAGATTACACTGTGTTGACATCAAGACTTTAAATTCTAGTCATAGTTAAGAGTCATATTAAATGCCAACTGAAGGCTAAAAGGAAATAACTACACGGAGGATAATCGTGCCTCAATAATGTAAGAAAACAATTGGCAATAAAACTGGAGTCATTGGTTGTCAAGTATGCTGTCTCACGCACCGGTAGGTAAAAGTCTGAAGAAATGGGTGGTCTCCATTCCCAGTGACAAAGATGGGTTCTAGTTGGATGCAGGAGCAGGTCTGTTGCCAGGTGCTGTCTGCAGCTCACAGCTGAGTTTAGCAGTGGAATTGGGTAGAGAACTTGGGAAATACAGGCACAGTCAAAGGCTGGTCACTTGAGTTTACCTCCACACCCTGGTACTTGCATATTGGATTTGCCTTATGCACCAGTTCTTTCTGTAGCCTGGCTAGCTCTTCCTTCTGCCGTTCTTCCTCCTGTTGCCTGGCTTCCTCCAACTGCTGGCCTCTCTGGGCTTCAATCTCAACCATTCTCTACTCTAACTCCTGCTGCTCCTTGGCTCTCTTCTCAGTAGCTAGCTGAAAAGGTTCCTGAACTAGAGAACCAGAAAGGCCTTCAGTAACTGTTTTTTTTTCTTTCTTGGGAACAAAGGGCTCCTGGGAGATGACGGTGTTTGGACGAGCCTTGAAACAAGCTGCTTCCTTCTGTTGTTTCAGTTCTTCCTCCAGCTGGTTCTTTCAAATCTGCGCCTTCAGAGCACCTCTTTTGTCAGTCTCCAAGCAGAAAGGCTCAACCTGGGTCACATTCTTTACCTTCTTCTCTGGCAGGTTAATAGTGTCAAAATGAGGCAAGGGAAGTGCCTTGAACACGGGTACCTCCTCTTTCTGCAGTTCTCTTATTTTCATCTCTTTCTTTAACTGATGTTCTTTGTCCTGAGAATCAAAGGAGAAAGGGCATAACTCCACAGTTCTTGCCTCTGGGATTTGGGGCTTAAAAGGCACCCCATAATGTGGCACAGGTTAAGCTCTTACCACTACTGGTTCATCTTCTTCCTCATCTCCTTTGGTGGGTATCCGAATTCTGTTCTTCAGTGCAAAAGCTGGTGACTTGGGGACAGTGATTGGAAGTACCTTCTTTTCAGGAACACCCACAACATCTTCCAAAATCTTAGTAGGGCAAGGTCTGGAATGAAATTCAAAGTGTTTATCATCTGATTTCTTCTTTGACTCTTGCTCTTAGATTCTTTTCTCAATTTCTAAATCAAAGCCAATAGGCTGAGTGGGTGGTTTCATGGGTGGTTTCTTGGTTAAGATATGCCCACCTTTAAGAATTCTGGGATCAAGTTCACGTGCTTTGAATTTGTATTGTTGCAGTTTCTCAAGCTCCTCAGCCTCCTGATCTGCAGCACTTTTGTAGGTCACAGGCCTTGTGTGCTGTTTGGTTTGCAGTACAGGAGTCTGTGGATCTCTGGAGATCTGGGCCACAGAAGATTTGGAAGGTAACAGACTAATATCACCCTTCTTGCTTCTCAAATGATATCTGTTAGGGGTTTGTTTATGGAAGGCTTCAACCTGCTGCGCAAGGGGCAGATATGTAGAAGCTGCTTCATCAAATGCTCTTTTCTTTCCCTGGGACAAGTTGAAAGGCTTAAAAATGGTACATCCCTTAGTCACTTGGGCAGGAGATGAAGGATGCTTTTGAAGTTCAGAAGTAAAGTCCACTTCCTTATACTCCTCTTGGTTCTTAGGATGTTGCTTAATGCGCTCATCTGTGTGGAAGTGGAAGTCAATTGATTTGGTTACCTGGCTCACTGATTTCTTCACAGGTTGCCCTGCTCCTGCAAGAGCAAATTTCTTGAATTCTTCATTCTTTCTCTGCTTCTCCATCACCACCTGCTGCATCTTCATTCTCTTCTCCAAGTCTTGTTCCTCAGTACTTTTCAGAATCTTCTGCCTTACGGGTAGTATAAAGGGCACAGTACGTCTGCCCTTTTCTTTCTCTGGGGAAGACTCATTCTTTTCAGAAGTATCTTGATGAGCACTATCTTCTTCCTCTGGCTTCTTTTTCTTGTTAGAAACTTTCATTTTTTCAGGGGGTGGAATTTCGTCTAAGACCACAGGAGTGGCACATCTCTTGGCTTTCATTTTCTCATGATCTGTTCCTTTCTGTTCCAAATCTCTCTGAGCAGAGAGTCTAATAGATCTTCTCTGTGGTTGGGCTGGAGTTTTTCTTGATACAGGTCCCTCAACTTCCAAGGAAGAACAAGTATTTGATGAAATTGATTGTCCCACAAAATTTTCTTTTTCTGGATGGAGCTGGAGAATGTTCCTCTGAGCAAAGTATCACAAGAATGGAGGAAAAAGTATCCAATGTACACACCCCTATTATGAAACTAATTTATACCTTTTAT